ATAAAGCATTATTTTTTTCCACTATGTGAGTATTTTAACCTCCAACAACTACCAATACATAGCACTTGTAACAGAAAAGGTTCTGGATGTTGCATGGACTTATGTTCACTTAAAAATACAAATTCTGTCATCATTTACTCACCCTCAAGCTGTCATCATTTACTCACCTTCACCCTCCTGTGTGAGTTTCTATCTTCTGCTGAACACAAAAGAAGATATTGAGAAGAATGTTGGTAAACAAACCATTAACTTCCATAGTAGGGGGAAAAATACTATGGAAGTCAACTGTTTGGTTACCAACATTCTTCATAATATCTCATTTGTGTTCAACAGAAGAAAGAAACCCAGAATTAGTTTGGTGCACCAATGCCGATGCGCCATCTTGGGTCTCAGATATCAAATGTAGGAAAACAAAACAGCCTCAGAAGACTTTTGTATTAATAATACAGTAGGCCTAAATATTGTTGCAGTGTTTGTCTTGTTGCTAGGTCAGTTGTTTTCATATTGTAATCAGTGCTGGGTAGTAACTGATTACATGTAATCTGGATTAAGTATTCCAAAACAGATTCCAAAAATTAAGTACTATTAAGTATAATTAGAGTATATTACATTTTACAGTTACATTTTACTACAGACTACATGATTACATATCACACAATGACAGTAAATTATTCATCATTTGTTGATTCTCCTTAATTATTTTTTTCTCTTAAAATTTCCTTTCTAAAAATCCTACTGTGTGTCATCCCATTTAGCCTTGACTGTATTCGCATATCAATTTGAAAACCATACTTCTGAATTTGAGGGAGAAAAGTACTGTACTTCTCAAGTTATCTGACCATGTATAATGGTCTCCTTGATATAAATTGGCAAGGGACTGATCTATCTCTTTACTTTTTTATAACAATATGGCATGTTTAATGATAAGTTTACAACAAGTTAGCTAAAAAGTAATACAAAAAAATCTAGTAGTCAGAATACATTCCCCAAAATTAGTAAATTAGATGACGTTACTAACTAATCTATAAAAAGTAACGTATCTATGGGTCTAGAATTTGTAAGTAATCTACCCAACACTGATTGTAATGATTTTTTTTTCATACCAGAAACTTTTAATTAATATACAGGTAAAATTGGAAAATACTTTCAACTCAAATCAATATTTGTCCAAAATATGTCCATGTTTATTTTATATGATGAGTTGCCCACACCAGTCTTTATCGCAAAATAAAGCTGAACAGGATGATCAGCACTTCAATGAAGATTAAAACATATAAGCATTATTAAAAAAAAAAAAAAAGATATTCTTTTGGTGATATAAAGTATATCTTAATATGAATGTATGTGTTCTCAGTGTTGAGCAGTAACTAGTTACATGTAACGGAATAACATAGTTTGATTATAAAATAAGGTTACACTTTATTTTAAGATGTCTTTGTTACACATTTTACGTGTACTTACTATCATAATAACAATAAATTATGCATAATTACATGCAAGTAAACTTAAGCCAAACCCTATTTCTAACCCTAGCCATATAGTAAGTACATGTAGTGAATTAATATTCCTCAGCACTTAAATGTATAATTACACTGTAATAAGGACACCTTAAAATAAAGTGTAACCCAAAACAAATGTAATCAGTTACTGAGGAAAAAAATGTGTAGTTAAATGACAGTTACTTATGGAAATATTAATTGCATTGACTGCTCTAAAATATGAGACACCAATGTTTCAGGAGTTTAGGACACATGCTTATTCGACAAGTGTTTTATTTCCTATTTGGGTTTATGTATATGCCTTATTTTTTAAAGATTAACTGTTTTTTGCAAGGCATTGTTAGATGCCAGTGCAAAGATTTGATTTCAAAAACAGTATCATAACAATTAAACTATATCTTATGATTTTAAATCTGTATTTAACTTCAGAACAATCTCAAAGATTCTGTGCTAAAGTCTGATTTTGTGGTGGCTCTGCTTTAAAATATAATCTTATATATAATCTTAATTCAAGTGTTAACCCTGCGTGCTTTAAATGTTTCAAAATGATTAACAGTTGAAAACATTTGTTATAAACTTGGAAACTGTAAACTGAAATGGTTATACTACTTATTACATTTTAAATAGGGTAACTTGTAATCTGTAACCTATTACATTCCAAAGTGACCTTCCCAGCACTGTGTGTTCCGACATGGCTTTAAGGGTAATATTTTACAGTCAGTGTCAGTGAAAATGATTCACTAAATGCTTCAAAACCTGTTTGTCATGAAGTGCACACTCTTCTGTCTGAAGAGTGTTCAGTGTCATTTATCTGACATCACAAAGCAACATTTTCATGGTACAATGAACTCTTTAATCACAAAAGATCAAAATTTTACAAAAGATCACCACTCTATGAGGAATTGCACAACACATCATGACATTTCAATCTTATGACCCCAACCGAACATTAGTATAAACATTGCTTAACAAATCTCCTACCTTTCCTCAAATAGTTACCGGTTTGTACGCTTGACTATGCATATTTACATGGTACATGATTACACTGTGTGATGTTACATAAGCACAGTCTTAATATCTTTGTAATGTCTTATTGTGTCTTTTTACATCCTTGTCCTTGCATTGTCTTGATGTTCCTGAGATACTTGTTTAAGGGATTTTTTTCCACATGATGACTTGCTGAAATTCTGGTGAAATTCCTTTGTGTCATTGTAACTGCTTCCAACTTGCGTCATCGCAAATGTTCCACAGTGACATGAGTACAGTACTTATGGCTTAGAAAAGTGCATTTCTGAACTGAATTTAAGAGTTTTGTATAGGTTCTAAGCCTTAATATTTTGAACTTACTCTGTACCTAAATACATTACAACATTTCTGATTTATTTTCATAAGCTTGCTAGTAATTACGATGATTACCATTTGGGGTTGTGTTGTTATACAGGTGCATCTCAATAAATTAGAATGTCATGGAAAAGTTCATTTATTTCAGTATATTTCTTAATATGTTGGCAGAATTTGGCCCTCGGCGAAAACTAATTGAGGAACCCTGATATACACACACAATGTAAAGGCACACACAGTGTAAAGGTATTTGTTTCCATGTCTCGCTGACTGATACTGAACTGAAAAGACCGAACACGCAGGAAACCTTCAGCCACCATTGGATACCTTTGTTGGGCCAATTGTGTGGACCTTACACAAGTCTGAACAGTTTTGAAAATGTACACCTTGTCTTAATTCATTCAAAAATACATAAAAATGCTGTTCATACATAAAACGACTTGAATACACCTCTTCTTAATATCATGATAAAAAAACATTTTAGCAAAACTGCTACACTTCTTTTAAATATTTGTAAAAAGTTTGCCTGCCAAATCAAAGTAAAAATTTTGTCACCAAAAACAATTAATGAATGAATATTTCATGTTGGAAAAAAAACACAAAAAAATGTATATATTGAAAATTCAATATTTTCTTAAAAATAGAAAGGTTTTCAAAACCTTATGAAAGTACTTTGCATGTGTTTGAAACTAGATTTTAAAATAACTTAAATTAAGAGACCAAAAGACTGTAAAGTCGTCAAGCTAAAATTCTGTTTTGTCCTTGTGCCCTTGAAGAAAGAACTTAAATAATGTTGATCTGATTCACAAACAATAAGTAATTCTCTGTTTGATGTGTCCTATATTTAGTGTTCTAGTCGGCTCTGACGCCTTCTGATCTCTGATTAATGAGCAAATTTAAAGACAATTTGATGTTAGGCTGACAAAAGGCGTATTCTAAGGCCAACTTTCAGGATTCTGTATTCTTTATTTTGCCGGATCTTGAGATCTGTGATATTGCAATGTCATAATTATGTTAGAGGTGAGAGAAGTGGAGCGAAACCTGAGAGCCAGACTGATCACGTCTACACAGCCACTAAACAATCACATCCCACAAAACATCAAAGAGATCCTAGATATTGTAAAGGTCAAACATAAGTACAATATACTGTAAATCTAACACAAATATTCTTAAGCACACAACTGGTGCCCCTATATGCTAAAGAAACATTGCAAGTTTTTCATCTTTGACTGACTTCAATTATCTTTCAATATTTCAATTTTGTGCCTTCAGGTAAAACTCGTAAATGAATGTAAATAAAATGAAAAATAATTACACACACTGACTCACCTATCCTGTGTATGGCTTTTATGATGAGTAATTTGGCTGCCATCTGACAATAAGTCGCCATTCGTAACGCATTGTCTGTGTCTTGGTTTCTAAAGGGTATTATATTCATCATGCCCTATATGTATTATGTGTTCTCTTTTTCTTTATCTGTTTTACAAGAAATGAAGCAAGCAGGAAAGACAGTTAGACTAAAAGAAAAAAGCACTGAAAAAAGGAAAGAGTTGTCATGGAGTCTTAAGATATTTGTCATGCTTGACATTGAAATGCAATGTGAAAACTTTTGACATTAAAGACATTTAAGTTTAGATTTCTTCTGCCATTACACATTTTTTCTTTATTTTTCCTTGTAAATTAACTTGTTTGTCCAGTTTAAATTTCTTCTGGAAAAAAAGGATCCAAATACCATGGTACCAAATGAGTAAAAAAGCTATCAATATACTATTTACTACAATTTAATATGTGCAACTTCTCTAACAATGACCTCACAAATGTTTGCATTTATCATGACCCTACAAACATACCTGCAATTAATTAACAATGACTAATTGCCAAATTGTGAAAAATGTTCTCAGTGAAGTACATGTGCTTGACAGCTGTGCATACTAAAAAGAATTTGAAGAGGATGACAAAATAGGAGGAGGAGAATTAAGAGAAAAGAAGTGGGCAGGTGAGTGACAGATGAGAAGAGCAACCTGAGAAGCTTATAGAACTATATAAAAGGGGTTGTAAGAGTCTCAGAGGACCAAATTAAACACCAGCATCCAATCTGCTCGCGAACACAGGGACTGTGTGAAGATGTGGAGATTAACGTGTGTCACTTTGACCCTGCTCATGTGTGCCACTGGTAAGGTCTCATGGTACTTCTATGAAAGTGAGGATAACTGTGAACAAAGACATTATATAGAAAAACTGAATATATTTTTGCTTTCTTTGCGGCACAGCACATAAGAACAGTCTTGTTAAAATAATGATGCATTAACATGAAACTTGCAGTTCAGTATCGTGTTGATTCATACGAACGATTCATTTGACAGGTAACTCCTGGGCTAGTGAGTCATTTTAAACGTTTTATCAAAGAGCTGACTCATAAGAATCATTTGTTCAGCAATCAGACTAAACAGGTTGCTGTGTAATCTTCAGCACCCAGTACTCCAGTCTTCAGAAGCATAAGAGCATAAGAAAAAAAAGCATATTCCAAACTTTGATGGCAATTTATATAAATACAAGTTATGCCCACCAACTAACTTGTTAATTGTTATTTATTAGCTAACGATTATTAGTGCAATAATGTTGCACAGGGTCATTATTTAGAGAAAAATGAAGATGAAATTGTTCTAATGCACACTTTATTTCTGCCCTTGCAGGTTCACTTTCTCAGTTGAATGGTAAGAGCTCCTCATCTAAAGACATCAGCATCAAGTCAAATAGTAGAAATGTATAAATACCTATGTGAACTATCTCTCTTTCTCATAGTTTGTGGACAGGCTCCTCTAAACACTCGTATTGTGGGCGGTGTGAACGCACCTGAGGGTTCATGGCCGTGGCAGGTCAGTCTGCACAAGTCTGGACGTCATTTTTGCGGAGGCTCCCTCATCAACAATGAATGGGTGCTGACAGCAGCTCACTGCTTACCTGGGTAAGATTCACCAAGAGAAATCAAAAGATATTAAAGATAAAATTAAGGTATTTTGTCATGCTTAACCTCCAAATGCAAAGTGGCAAAGGCACTAAGGTTTCAATTAGTTTTTACCAAATGCCCAAAATACTGTATCAAATGAGAATTAATCACTTTACTATATTACAAAATAAAAAATACTATATATAGAATATACTTTATACTGTATATAAATATTCTATTTTCTCACGTTCACATTCTCTGATTGTTTTCAGTGTAAGTGCATCCAGTCTGCGTGTGTATTTGGGAAGGAGGACACAGGAGGGAGTCAATACCCATGAAATCAGTAGAAATGTGAGAACCATAATCGTTCACCCCTCTTATGACAGCAACACAAACAACAATGACATCGCTCTGCTCCGGCTGTCCTCCACAGTCACATTTAATAACTATATTAGACCCGTGTGTCTGGCGGCCCAGAGCAGCGTCTTCATTTCTGGCACCAGCAGCTGGATCACAGGCTGGGGAGATGTTCAAGCTGGAGGTACAAAAACGTACAAACCCATTAATTAAAGTATATATCTACTCCTAATATCACTAATAGATGGTTGTGTATGTGTGTTTTGGTGTTCAGAGAGTTTACCTTCTCCTGGGATCCTGCAGGAGACTATGGTTCCAGTGGTGGCTAATGATCGATGTAATACTCTTCTGGGTTCTGGATCTGTTACCAGCAACATGATGTGTGCTGGTTTGACACAGGGAGGCAAAGACACCTGCCAGGTGCAATGAACAAACAGATTTTCGATCTAAGCATGTACAGCTACTGTATAACACACTTCAAGATCTACTGTTTTGCATTTGCATTGTCTACTTTGTATAAATGCTTAAAATTGAGTAGCTCCGGTAATGTAAATATTCACTATAAAACAAATCAGTGATATAGAAGGTGACTAGGTTCACACATTGTCATGCTCACAAATACCATCACACTAACACACAATACTAAAATAATTAAATAAACATTAATTTAACAACATATGTTGTTACTTAAAACGTCTTTTTCTTTCCTCTTGTCCCTCTCTGTAGGGGGATTCTGGAGGTCCAATGGTGAGCAGGCAGTGCACAGTGTGGGTTCAGTCTGGCATCACCAGCTGGGGTTATGGCTGTGCTGATCCCAACGCACCTGGTGTTTACACCCGTGTGTCTCGATATCAGAGTTGGATCACCAACAGAATTGGTCAGAACCTGCCAGGATTTGTCACCTTCAACCCCCCGACTTCATGCTCCTCTGCCAGCTTAAGTAAAAATCTCTCTCAAACACCTACACAGCGTATACCCACGTAAGAGAGCATACTTGCTTGACTAACGCAAAATGATTTGTATGTGCAGCCTCAACCTCCTGTAGGGGGAGATGCAATGAGAAGTACAACAGTCGCTTTCGCTGCAACTGCAATACTAACTGCAGTATAAACTGCTGCAGAGATTACAGACAGCGTTGTGCCAGTAAGTTCAAACACATTCCTTTCAGTAATATTTAATTCACACTTAAAAATGTTGTTGCATTAGAAACAAAATATCGTGTTAGTTAAAATATCACTAAACATCATGTTAGTCATTTTTCTCAGCTTACTTCACTTTTTTGAGCAATTTTTGCAATCATGTTTAAATGTGATGTATGAAGTCAATGTTTTTAAATGTGTTTCCAGTTCTTTTTGTGAAATGTCCTACTTGAAAAGTGTTTCTTTAAAATCAATGCCACTTGCTTTTATATTTTGAGACATAATGCAGACATACAAATCTGCATATATTTTACATACCCAATACCCATTTTTTAATTACTGCACTCATAGCTATACTAAATAAATGAAACATATACTTTGCATGTCCAAAAAGTAAACACCAAAACTGTTTCTTGCTCAATCCCATGACTTATATTTTTGTTTTTGTGTCTCTGCAGTGTGAGGTATGTCATACTTCCATGGATTATATATGATCACAGGCTTATAATCACGTCACTTGCATCTAAATTGAATGATCTTTATCTGCTTGTTCGGAGAGAAGATTTTTACTTGAGTGCCACTTTGGATGCGTTGCACAGTCAGAAATAAACACAGTCAAAGAGCTGCTGCACTGACTTATACTCAGGGGTGTAAATGCATATTGTTCGTGTTCAACATATGTTTAACAATAGCACCATTAGTAGAATCCTTGTCTCTTTTGTTTTTCTCTCTCTAGTTCTAGCATGTAATTGTTTAGCATTAATTGTAGGCATGGGCAACTTTTTTTCCTTCATTTAGCATTTGCACTTTTCTTATATAAAACAATGTGTTATAATTATCTAATATTTAAAATTGATTTTCTCATTTGTGATTTTTGCTGACAAACAAGTGGGCACGTCTTTAAGTTTCAATACATTTTTGTCACACAATACTTCAATGCATTGTCTGTCTTTTAATGGCTTTTCTTGTAATAAATCTATCCAACAGTAGTGTACTGCATCAAAATGTAGCACAAACCACACATTACGTTGGTCTTATGCAACTGAACCACTTTGCATTTTATTCAGGCATCATACAATTTTATATTTTTATAACAGTGAACTGATAAAACTGGTCATGTCAAAATCAATAGTAACACAATGATCAGAAAAACTGTTAGGAATATATTGGAATTCATAATGAATTGTTATCTGTGGTCACACTTTATTTAAAGGGGTCATATGATGCGATTTCAATTTTTAATTTCTCTTTGGAGTGTTACAAGCTCTTGATGCATAAAGAAGATCTGTAAAGTTGTAAAGACTAAAGTCTCAAATCCAAAGAGATATTCCAGCCGCTCCTTCGTCGTATCTGCCGGCCGCCGCTCCCTCAAGGCCGCCGTGTGTGACGCTGTGTGTTTCGTTGTGAAAGCGAAACTACTTTGTTTGGCCTTCCAAAAGAGGACACAACTAGAAATCAGTGGTTAAGTTGTATTTACAAAAATGTTCCAGAACAGTTCAACCCAAATATTCAGATGTGTGCAGCACATTTTATGGAGGACTGTTTACTGGCAGAGTAGACTGCCAGCTGTTCTGACTCACAGACCATAAGTTTTCATATTTAAAGAATTTGCCACTGATGATTCAAACGTAAGTTTTGAGTAGTGTAGAGTAGCGCTTGTTGTTTGTAATTTCTCCGATCACAAATGCAGACATGGTTTTATGTTTACGCAGCGTGATGCAACGCGTAAAAAGACAGTATAAGTCATTATAATCCGTAATTATGTTGGAATTGGATGCAACAAATGCCTCGTTTATAATGGGTTTTAATGTTTTTGTCTCGTCGCTCCGGCCGGGACACGGCATCACAGTATGGTAGGGGCGTAACATTTCCATCACACACTTCAGGTATTCGGTCAATCACAACGCACTGGATAGCTGGCCAATCAGAGCACACCTCACTTTTCAGACCGATGAGCTTTGTAAAAATCGACGTGTTTCAGAAAGGCGGGGCATAGAGGAGAAACAATAATGGATAGTATGTGGAAAATAAGGTGTTTTTTTAACCTTAAACCACATAAACACATTTCATTACACCAAATACACAAAATAATGTTATTTTTAGCAACATCATATGACCCCTTTAAAGGCCCGATTCTCGCTATTAACAAACTATTAACTATGACTTTTGCCTCAAACTCCTAATTTGATGCATATTAATAGTTAGTAAAGTAGTTGTTAAATTTAGGTATTGGGTAGGATTAGGGATGTAGAATATGGTCATGCACAATATGTGCTTTACTACTAAACAGCCAATATGTTAATAATAGGCATGCTAATAAGCAACTAGTAAAAGAACTTAAATGTTGATCTGATTCACAACCAATAAGTAATTCTCTGTTTGATGTGTCCTATATTTAGTGTTCTAGTCGGCTCTGATGCCTTCTGATCTCTGATTAATGAGCAAATTTAAAGACAATTTGATGTTAGGCTGACAAAAGGTGTATTCTAAGGCCAACTTTCAGGATTCTGTATTCTTTATTTTGCCGGATCTTGAGATCTGTGATATTGCAATGTCATAATTATGTTAGAGGTGAGAGAAGTGGAGTGAAACCTGAGAGCCAGACTGATCACGTCTACACAGCCACTAAACAATCACAAAAAAACATCAAATAGATCCTAGACACTGTAAAGGTCAAACATAAGAACAATATAAATCTTACACAAATATTCTTAAGCACAAAATTGATGTCCCTGTGTTAAAGAAACATTGCAAGTTTTACAGCTTAAGTTTCTTTGGCTGACTTAAATTGTGTTATTATTATAAATGAGGTTGGCAGTATAGAAGTCAACTGTAGCTTGATATTTTATTCTTGTACCTTCAGGTAAGAAAACACGCACACACACACACACACACCGACTCACCTATCCTGTGTATGGAATTTATGAGTAATTGTGGCTGTCATCTAATAATAAGTTGTCATACCTAATCATCCTCTCCATGGTCAATACACAAAATAATGTTATTTTTAGCAACATCATATGACCCCTTTAAAGGCCCGATTCTCGCTATTAACAAACTATTAACTATGACTTTTGCCTCAAACTCCTAATTTGATGCATATTAATAGTTAGTAAAGTAGTTGTTAAATTTAGGTATTGGGTAGGATTAGGGATGTAGAATATGGTCATGCACAATATGTGCTTTACTACTAAACAGCCAATATGTTAATAATAGGCATGCTAATAAGCAACTAGTAAAAGAACTTAAATGTTGATCTGATTCACAACCAATAAGTAATTCTCTGTTTGATGTGTCCTATATTTAGTGTTCTAGTCGGCTCTGATGCCTTCTGATCTCTGATTAATGAGCAAATTTAAAGACAATTTGATGTTAGGCTGACAAAAGGTGTATTCTAAGGCCAACTTTCAGGATTCTGTATTCTTTATTTTGCCGGATCTTGAGATCTGTGATATTGCAATGTCATAATTATGTTAGAGGTGAGAGAAGTGGAGCGAAACCTGAGAGCCAGACTGATCACGTCTACACAGCCACTAAACAATCACAAAAAAACATCAAATAGATCCTAGACACTGTAAAGGTCAAACATAAGAACAATATAAATCTTACACAAATATTCTTAAGCACAAAATTGATGTCCCTGTGTTAAAGAAACATTGCAAGTTTTACAGCTTAAGTTTCTTTGGCTGACTTAAATTGTGTTATTATTATAAATGAGGTTGGCAGTATAGAAGTCAACTGTAGCTTGATATTTTATTCTTGTACCTTCAGGTAAGAAAACACGCACACACACACACCGACTCACCTATCCTGTGTATGGAATTTATGAGTAATTGTGGCTGTCATCTAATAATAAGTTGTCATACCTAATCATCCTCTCCATGGTCCATTGTCTGTCTTTGTGTATAAAGGGTATTATTATCGTCATGCCTTTTATGTGTGATGTTTTTCCTTTATTTATGTGTTACAAGAAATAAATCAAGCAGGAAAGAAGACTAGTGAAAAACAGAAAGTGTTGTCATGATGTCTTAAGATATTTTTAATGCTTGAATCCCAATGCAATGTGAAAACTTTTGACATTCAAAGATATTTATGTTTCAATTTCATCTGTCATTCCAATATTTCTTTATTTTTTATCTTTTCCAATTCCGCCCCACTCTCTGTCCCAATTCACTTCCTGTCATTACACTTTCCTATCTAAATAAAGGCTAAATAAATAAATAAATAAAATTCTTCAAAATTAATTTGTTGGGCCAGTTTGAAATTCTTCTAAATAAAATTTCCAAATACAAAATAATATCAAATAAGCACAAAGTTATCAGTTTAATATATTACAAAAAATGTCTCTGACTTGTTTGACAATGACCTCAGATATTTGCATTTATCCTGACTGCACAAATATCAATTACCAAACCCTAACAGGAAGCACAAATTGTGAAAAATGTTCTGAGTGTAGTGGATACATGCATGACAGCTGTGCATACTAAAAAAATTTGAAGAATGAAAAAGGATAACAAAAACAGAGGAGGAGCATAAAGAGAAAAGAAGTGGGCAGGTGAGTGACAGATGAGAAGAGCAACCTGAGAAGCTTTTGGAACGATATAAAAGGGGTTGTAAGAGGCACAGTGAACCAGATTACCATCAGCATCCATTCTGCTAGCAAACAGAGGGACTGTGTGAAGATGTGGCGATTAATGTGTGTCACTTTGACCCTGCTCATGTGTGCCAAAGGTAAGGTCTCATGGTACTTCTATTAAAGAGCGGATAACCAGGAACAAAGACATTATATAGAAAAGAGAGAATATATATTTTTTGTGGCACAGAGCATAAGAGCAATCTAAGGGCTTTGTTAAAATAAAGACGCATTGATTTGAAACTTGGAGTTCATATGTAGATTCATATGAATGATTAATTTGACGGGTAACTCCTGGGTTTGTGAGTCTCGTTTTATCAAAGAGCTGACTCATAAGAATCATTTGTTCATCAGTCAGACTAAACAGGTGGCTGTGTAATCCGATTCACAAATAAATGACTCTTATGAGTCGCTTCTTGTATCTGCATGAAGCCTGTGAAGAGCGACAGTTCAAGAAACACTGCTGTGATATGTCATGTCTGAAGTACAAAAGTTTGGAACAATTAAGATTTTTAATGTTTTGAAAAAAGTGTAATGTTCACCAAGGCTGCATTAATTTGATGAAAAACACAGTTAAAAAAGAAATACAAGCTATGCCCACCAACAAACGTGTTAACTGAACGTGTACAGATTGAAACCACTCTTAAAATAAATAGTTAAATTACACATTGTACATCCAGGTTCACAAGAACTATTCTTACGTAATACACCGATTTCTGAACTGTAATGATCCTGTGAGGTAATCTATGTAAATGCTCTTTCTAGGTCACAGCCTTTTATATATATATATATATATATATATATATATATATATATATATATATATATATATATATAT